CACTCTTTCAAATTCCTTTTCTGTTTCGAAAGATATATGTAATATAACTTCCTTACCAAAAATAGCTTAAGTGTTTGTGCCTTGCTGTTTTGAAGGACTACCATGAATTTGTCTGAATTTTACCTGCTTTTTATAGGTACAAGCCATACTAATTGAAAGCTGTTAGAAGAGAGAGTTTTCTACATTTCCAGTGTACTTTTGTGCATTTGCCAGCACTGCTGTGTAGTCAGTTTCCCTGGTTCTTCCATACAGCTCCTCCTCACTACTTGCGCGTTTCTTTTTTTAAACACAGCAACAGAGAAAAGATTGAAATAAGTAAGAAAATATGGTAACGTTATGGGAATTAGTAGAGACGTAGAGGTAGATCTAGTGCTGTAAATGTCTTTCAATTTTAAGTTTGATTCAGCTTCAGGGTGACTTGCATTTGAAGTGCTTTCTTCTCACTACACGGTTTTTAAAAATGATCTCTTCTGAGGGCACAATGCTTCAACTATTCTTTCTATTTTTAGCAATACAAGTACTTACGTTTCAGAAGATCTTTGCCTCTGCTTGTTAAACATAGTTGTGTGGAATCACTGTATCTGGTTAGAAACTTCTGCGCTGCATACTATTTTTTTGGTAAGTGTTCTGATATCATCTTTATTCTTGCCATATGTGGAAAGTTTTCTTTAATCAATTTGTCAGTATTTGCTGTTTATTCAGCCCTACAAAGAACCTAGGCTTTTTAAATAAGCAAACAGAACACTTTCAGTCATCATAACAGTTTATCAGACATGCAAGCCATTGCTGTTTATGTAATTTCATAGAATTGCTCAGTAAAGAGATGGTGTCCCTGAATGTTAATGATCTCATCTTGTTGCAATGTTGGGAAGACCCGAGAATGAGGTAGAGTCTAGCACGCAAGGCAATTAGCACGGAAGGGATAAAGGACCCATTTTGAACTGAAACTAAAATGTTGGTTCATCTAACCTAGTGTGTTTATTTCTGATGATCAGTAACAGCTGCTTCAGAGGAAGGCACAAGAAAGTCTGTTACAAACAAACACTTGTGAAACAACCTGCCCAAAGGGAAGCCTCTTCCAAATTCTTATCAGTCAGTAACTGTTCCAGAACTTTAATTTTCTTTACATGGAAGTCTCCATGCAGTCAACCAGCACTTTTATATGTGCTTTGTCTTCTTTTTTTTTCTTTGGCTGGGTGACTGTAATTGAACCTGGTAATGTATATTCTTATTGTGTGCGTAATACGTAAAGTATTACGCACACAATAAGAACTTTTTAGCATTATTTTCCTTTGGAAATCTTAGAAAATCTAAGGCTTTGCCTGCTTTTTGATCACTGATGCACAATGAACTGTGTATTAAAAAAGATCCCATAACCCTATTTCCACACTCCCCACCCCTGCGGTACTAGCCTTTTTTGCTTGTTTTTAATTAAAATTTAGGCTTTTCTGTTGACAGAGCTGTGGGTCTCCTTTCTCCAAAAGTGTCCGTCTTTATTTTGTGTTGGTATTTAGGTATAAGCCTAAAAAATATCAAATTATTCTAAGAGTTACTTCCAAGTTTCAGATCTATAGTCTATTGGAGATTTGAGAAACACAAAAAATTATATAATATACATTCTATTTATAAATTATATATTTATATATAATTTATTTATCTATATCTATAGAATATAAAAATAAAAAATACAATTCTGTGTTTCTCAATCTCTCCAATAGAATATAGATCTGAAGCTTATAATTATTCTAAAAGTTACTTCTCACTTTCCATCTGGAGGTTCAACATTACTGTAGTATCTTAATGCCTCCATAGCATAGATAAGCATTTGCTCCATTTTTCAGGTGGAGAAACCAAAGTAGCTTGGATGAGACCTTTGGAAAAAACTAATAATTAAACTAGGAATAGAATCTGCATCTCCTGATTCATAGTTTTAGCTTTTAACTTTGTTGTGACAAGAAAAGTATCAAGCAGTCTATGATAAGAATTGCTCCTTTTCACAATATATGCACATCATGTTGTTGGTCTTTATTTCTGTCTCTGTGTGTAGCTTGCTTTCATACCGAAAACTTTCCGTTTTTTTTTATACAAAGTGGGCACATCTGTATGTGCATATTAATGTGATGTAATAAACTCCAGCACATGTCACACTGGAGTTTACTGCTCCTGGGCACATGTGCACCCAGGACCACAGCATGTCAAGCTGGGTTGCAGCAGTCCCAGCTGGCAGGGGACCCGGGGGGAGTCAGCCTGCCAGCCTGGGGCTGCTCTGATCTGTTTCAGTGCAGGGGCTGGCTGGGGCATCAGGGTGCTCCAGTGTGGACATAGCCAGCAGGCAGCCCCTGCACTGAAGCACCCTTGTGCCCCAGCCACACATGCGATGCTGAGGAGTACAAAAAAACCCTGCAAAACAAAACTTTGCAGCAGGATAGTATTTGTATTTACAAGTACTACCCTGCTGCAGAGTTTATTAGTTTACTCCAGCTTAGTAGCCCTGCATGTGCAGGTGCCAAGATGGTTACTGTGGAGCTAATTAATCTATGCTGCAGTAAACATCTCATGTAGACATGCCCATTAACTGTTACATATCTGTTTCACAATGTCATTTTGCTTCTGGCTTTTTAGGTTATATCCCACGGGCATGGATAAGTACCACAATGGACCTTCGCGCAGATGAGTAAGTAGTAAAACAGCCTGTTCTCAGTTGGGCTGTTTTACCTTTCATCATAATCGTCTGGGAGAAGGAGTTGGGAATGGCAATGTCTACCTTTTAGCACCCTGTACTGTGCTGTAGAACCAAAACTACTGCATTAGGCATCACAGAATGGGATCCAAAGCACCGTGAGCTTGAAGCAGCCTAGAACTAGATGGTAGAAAACACTGTGCACACGGATCTCTAAAAACCTACCACTCTCCAGATCTTGGGTGCCTGGTCCAGGACTGGTAACAGGTGGAGAGGGGGCTCTGTCCATTTGCAGGTTGCAGGTACTTCTCTGTCATCCTATTGAAGCTGTGCAATATGGAATTTGTGGTTCATTGGGACTGCTCCCATGATTGTTTAATGTAAAATGCATCAGCAGTGACGGGACAGGGGGCAGGAAGAGTTCTTGGAGTATGACCCAAATCCCACGACTCTCCATTCTCAAGAGCGTGCCTTATCCACTAGGCCAGGAGGGGTTAACCTGTGGCATGTGTATCACAAATGGCACAGGCAGGCCCCACAGGCCAGATGACATGGCACCAGGGTCAAGATTGGAGTTGTGGCTCAGGGGTTGAACACCCCTGGCTTTTTACATAAAAAGGGCATCACTACCTCCTCTGATCTTGTTTTAGAAGACAGTGGCCAGAGGTTTGTGAGGAGCCTAGTTCTGTTAGGCATCTTTTGATCAGGCATGCCAGATTAGGCTGCTCAAGGTTTATATGGAAAAATTTCTAGTGTTTGGATGCTGGTTAGACTTGGGCAGTGAACTGCTCAGACTGGGGCAGTCTGCGGCAAATGCAGAAAGAGACTTCTAGGTCTCTAGGGAACTTAGAAGTCAGATAGGGAAGTGCTTACTGAGGTTAGTCAACTGATTTGGAGTTTCTTGGATTGCAATTCTGGATTTAGGAGCCTCGATTCCACTGAGGTCCTTGATTAGATCTAGCCATACATCTTTAAATACAAGAAGAAAATGTTCCCTTCCACATGTCACAATATTTATTATGTTTTCTCCTCCTTAATGCAAAGGGAACTGGAGAATGTTCTTTTCTTCTGGTTATTCATTGTTTAAAATTATACACGTTGGGAATATAATGCTGCTGCTAATTGACTTAGAGGGTTTTGGCATTTACAGACCCAGCATTGCTGACAAATTGGGGGGGAAAAAAAAGGGGTTTTGGTTTTTGGGGGTTTTTTTTTGTTTTTTTGGTAGCATCTTCTAAAGTAACTGCATTTCCTGAAGCATTGTTTTAATCCATTAATTCTTTATACTGTTGCCACCAAAATTAAATGTGTGTGTTTGGGTTTTTTTGTAGTAAGATTCATCCTCTTGACACCCTGGCTGGTTTGCTGGATCTCTCACTGTTCTACCATACCTGGCTGTGTGGTGTATTTCTTTTGATTCCTTGGTACATTGCATGGTTACTCTTCAAAATCTATGCAACAGAGGTTAGTATTGGCTGACTGGATTATGCTTGCATGTCATCAGCATTGTGGAAAAAATGTTTTACTTTCAAAAGTAGTGTTCAAGAAGAAATCTCTCAGAACTAGCAATTCTCAAGCTTTACATAGCATGGAGTATAGTCAATGCAACAACTGACAGATACTTTTTATCCCTCTTCTAATTTCTCTTGTTCCCAATAATATAACAATCCCATAGCCTCTAAAATTAGAGAGCTGCAGTTTACATGGAAAACTAATACCTGGAGAACACTAACTGAATTTTAGCTGTTCCAGTACATTTTTTTTTAACGGAAAGTGAAGGATTGATAGGGCCAGGCAGCACTCTGGACCATGCTTCATAAACTTCTGATTTAAACAAAGACCCAAACTACACAGTCTCCTATAGACCATTTTGATTTAACATCAAAGTAGCATGCTGTTATAAAGTAGACTTCAAAAAAATCTTGGGAATTGATACATTTTTCTTTTTTAATCATTAAGCTACAAATTAATGTGGCTAAAAAAAGACCATTTAAATATATAATGAATCGCATTAAAATAAAGCAGAGACTAAGATTCAACCAAAAAAAATGAAATTCTGCCAACAGCAAATTGGGAACTTAATCTTCATTGTATAATTTAAATACTTCTCAGTAAGAGAATAAAAATACCACCATCTAATTTGATTTTCCTCCTTTTCCCACCCCCATCCCCCTTAGGCTTTGTTAAACTACAGACCAGGCTTCCCAGCCTCAGTTCTTTGGCAGGTCTCATTTTAGAAAGTGTTACTTTGGAAGGACAAAGTGAAGTGAAGAGGCCTTTTGATCCATTTTTCTGAGGCTCAGCTTTTTTTAATTAAGGAGAATCCCTAGCTGCTGTTATGATTGCCCAGAAAAGTTTTGGGAATCTTGCATGCAGGTATAACCTTGTGCTGTCCATTCTGGCTGAACTTGCTAAGAGCCTGGAAAAGGAGTTCTGGCATGTGAACTGTCCATTTTGAGAGATGTTAATTGGAACTAATAATTGTGGACACTTAAACACTCTGTTAATTATTTTTGTGGACATATTAAAACACGCTGCTAATTATTTTACTGCTCATAAAAGCATGCAAGATGGAAGGGGAAGTGTTGTCATATTAGGAAGATGTAAAGTGTGTATGGGTTTTAATAACAAATCACGAGTTTGAAGGGTGGTGCAGCTGACATTGTGATCCCCCCAAAAAACGTTCTGAAATGCTAACTAAGAGCAAAGTCAAGGTCTAAAAATTTTGCCCCATAAACATAGGTAGTATTTGTAATCTTAGAAGATGTATACTCCTACTCCGCTCCTAGTATGATGAGGGGACCCCTCTGTTCCCGCCCCCCCTCCGCCCCCCCCATTTTATCCTCCTCCAAATATAAATAACACTTCATAATCAGAAGTCTGTCAGAGAAATAACAGGCCATGGCTGGCAGTTTCCAAGTAGGAAGATGGTTGTAGAATACAAAGCACTTTATAGATTTAAAGGAGAGGATTAAAATTATTAATTAAATCTAACTCAAAAAGGTTTGTGTAAAATCTTACCGTTCTTCTTCAGGGAATCTGAATAACTTGGAGATGATACCTTTTTTCCTGGGCATTGCTGTATAATACCACATGCTGTTTTGTTGTTGTCTGCTCAGATTCTAAAACTGGTTCTTGCTGTTTAAAAGTAGATTTAGAAGTCCATTTGTTTTATCACATTAGCAACATTAATTGGAAGCTTTGGCTATATACTTTATGTAGTTTCTCACGTTGCCAAATTAATTTGGCTGTGGAGTCTCAGTAACAGTCTATTTCAAAGTTTGTTCTGTGTAATAGAAGTCTGGTATTGAATCAGCTTAGTTCTTTTCTTTAATTCCAGGCGTACCATTTTCCTGTTCAGCCAACGTTTGCTGAGGAAACTGACCAGTGCTTACCTAAAATCTTAAGCAGTAACCCTCCCCTCATCATAAAGGTATCAGAACAGTTGTTTGTGTTTGTCATGTCTGTATAGTCTTAGATTTGTAGATCTTGGGGTCAGAAGGGACCTCAGTAGGTCATCGAGTCTGACCCCCTGCCCGGGGCAG